AACTCATAATTTATCATTTATTATCATAATTATGATTTGAATTAGACGTATTTAATATTCATAATAATTGAGACGAATACACCAAATATGTGAATAAAAACACTGACTGATTTTAATTACAAGTTAAACTAAAATAACTTTGCATCGAGCTGTAAAAATGTTCATAAAATAGCTCACCACGTTAGCCTGCTACAACCTATAACTATTAGTTATTACCAATTACCATACAACAATTGAATTAATTTATTGTGAACTATTTCCTATGACTACTATTTATTTTTTTTATATTGCTGAGCATAATCCGACATTCGAACTATTCGATAGTATATTTTCAAATACTCAAATAATTTCAAATTGTTTGATTATTTGAAAATTTAATATTATTCGTTTGATAATTTTAAATATCTTTTGATTGCTTATGAATAATTTAATAGATAGCTTGTCTCACGAAAAAAAGGTACCGCGCTTTAATGAAACCTTGATATTTTTGTTCATCCTTACACTGCTCTGCACGATCACACCTAATATCCCCACCACGTTCAACCCAGCACCAGTACATAGTTCATAGTGTTCATCATACTGTTCATAATTATTACTTCATACTTCATAGTTCATAGCTCAGTCTTCATTCTACATGCATAAAGCTACGTTTACATTTATAAGTTTTGTAGGACATACTACATAGTACATAGTATAATGTATGTTATAAAATTATATAATATTTTCGATTTTTTGTCCTATAAATACAACTTCTTACAGTCACTATCAAAGCCTAACAATGAAATTGAAAAAAAAAAAACAAATTATTAAAGAATCTTTATTACCTATTCTCTTTTAAATACAATTTTAATGTGATTTTAAAGTTAATTTAATTTATAATTAAAAATAAAATAATTGTAAATTTTTATTCTGTGAAATAAAGTATTTAATAAATATTCATAAGTAGGTATTTATTTGTTTATAATAATTAATAGGTATGTTGTTTTATACAACATTAATATAAATAAAAATTGTTATTCAAAATTTTATGTGTAAGAACAACATTATGTTATATATTGACTCTCTTTTAAATACCTACCTAGTTAATTCTAACAACTAAATTATCAAAATTGTTTTAATTATTTTTATTTACCTCCATTTCTAAATTCTTAATAACTCTTAATTTAACCTTCAACAAGACTGTATCTGCATTTAAATTGACTATTTTTTTGATTCATGGGTCCAATAAAGTTACTTTAGGATAAAAATGCGATGGGCCCATCTTTTCAACTGAACCATATGCTTGCAAAATATTATCAAGTGAAAATATATTTAAAAATGTTCTACTTGATGTTTTTAGCATTTTTTTTTTCAGTTTAAAGTTTAAGACCTAAAATGAAAAATTAATGTCACAAAATATTAGGTAGGTACTTACCTAAAATGTTAAATAAATCTCTAATTAGGTACTTCTGATTAATAAAATCACTTTTCCTAGAATAGGTTTTTATTTATATGACAGCTACATAGCCAAGTTTCAAATGACTTTGTTACCTAATATTATTAAATATTTTATGACTGTCAATTAGATAATCATTTTTTGGCATGGTTGAACGTTGTTTTACAGATAAATTAACTATAGTTAGTGATTATTTAATTACTAAAAGACATGTCAAGATGCTATTCTACCTTGTTAAAACATACTATTTCAATTTCAAATTAGTAAGTTTCATAATCCATTACTGTTTCTATGAAAATTGTTTTATGTCGACCTCACTTTACTTAAAATGGCCAACAATTGAACAGCACAACTTTGTCAAAGTTATTAATTGAACCTGATCACTGAGTGTTCACTAGTCATCACAATCTAATTTTAAGAACTTTTTAACTATATTATTCAGGCTACAATAAGGAATAGGTATGTTCAATTGTTATATAAACATAACAGCTGCCTAAATAATTTTTCTATAATCGGTAACGATTTTACCACTTTTGTCTGAGTATTCCAATCGTGGAAAATATTAAACAAAACTTCAGACAAATATTGTTACAACAAACTGCAGTATGCAGTAGGTAGTGGATTCAGAGGTGGGAAGAAGGGCTCCCCTGTAAGCTGTGTTTTATTTAGGAAAAAATGAAGATATTAGTTGATTTTTTTGAATAATTTATAATGAGCCTAGTAACACTAAAAACTTTAAATAATAAAATTAATTAACCTATTTATCGAACTTAAAAACAATAGAAAATAGTATTTTTGAAGGTTATTATAGTTAGTCAGTTAGAGACTTAAATTTGTCTAGATATTGTCTTAAAATAATTGATTATCCATTTTAATGTATAACTGTATAAGTATAAATAAATGTTTCTTATTCTTTAAGTCGAATATAAAGTCAAATAATAATTAAATATAAAATCCATAAATATATCGTACCATCAAAAATATTATCCCTTGTAAATTTTGTTACAAGAATAATAAGTGATTTTATTTTAAGATTATTTTAAAATTATAGAAAATGATTTTTGTGAACGCGTTTTTCCATGTTGCGTGCAGATTTGAATAAACATAATTGCACTGGTATTGTCTTAATTTACTGTAATGTGTAATTAATATGTTTATTAAATTAAACAATGATAAATTATTGCTACTAAAAATTATTTTGAGTGGCATCAATGTGTTAGCCTATTTCTCAAGGACTACATCTGTCTAATCTAATATTTGAATGCTTTTTTCATAAATAGTTTTTATTCGATCTATTCGAATAATATTTATTCGAATATATTTTATATTTCCCATAAAAGCTATTCGGTCACCTAAAATAACATAAAAATATTCGATACGTGTTAGTTCTAGTGCACATTAATTATTACTCGTTACTTCTACTAAAGTACCTACATCTGTCAAAGAAAAAGAAAGAATGAAAAACTCAGACACTGCAAATAGTATAGCATGACGAAATAAATAAGTATGATCGCAATTTATAACCACTGACAATTGACACCGTCATCAATCATCTCTCATCGATATTAATAAATAATAATTGGTAATACACAATAATGCGGTGCAACTCGTTTGTGCATATTCAACATTGTTTACTTGAAAATCGACGACTCGCTTGCACGAAATCAGTCATTTACCTGAAAACAGATCAATCGTTTGCGCACAAATACATAATGGCACATTCACACAGATGTATAAATCGTCACAGACTACAGTGCACATTTTTAAATATTTGATAGCAATATACCTAATCTTATAATCAGTTGTGTAAATTACATCATTTTGGTTTTTCCGTATCTAGCTACTTTTTGTACAGTTTTAGTGGTTATAATTTATAGACTTAGTAGACTTATAGTTCAGACTTTCAGTTTTAGTATAGACTATAGAGGTGGCTACTATATAGTTATTGACTATATTATTACTAACAAGTGTGTTGATAACATAAACTCTTTAATTTTAACATAGAAATTTCTAATATTTTTTAAACTTAGCGAGGAACTGAGAAGGAAAATGTGTGCGCAATCGAATTGTGTTTTTTGGGCAAACGAGTTGTAGCTTAATTATGAAATATCAAGAAGAAGGGTGAATTTTTAGTTACGTTTTATTGGTTGTTGATATTATGGCTATTATGCAGAGGTATATATTTTTATTATTATTATTTATTGTAGGTATTTAAAATGCATCAACCCATAAACACATTAATTATTTATTAGTTTGTTACAACAGTCGAAAAGATAAAAAAAAATTACAATACAATAGGTATAATATAATTCAAAAAACGTGTTATGGAACACATAGGTAGGTAACTAATATTAAGAAGTCAAACAAAAGATTCCATCCTCAAACGCTTGCGGCCGAACGAAATTAAATTGGTTGTAACCATATCACATGTTACTTTTTTTGTCGTTGGTATCGTCTAGCTATTGAAATTAAAATTAAACTTGATTTATTTTAACTAACTTTATGTTTAATATCCAAATCAAATACCAAATAGTGGGTACCTACTACATTCGCCTATAATGCATATCTCTACTCGTATTCTAATTTTAAGTTTCCCATATAGGCCACAGGGTTGCTTGATAGTGGCACGGACGTACGGTATATTATATGATTAAAGATCTAAAGAAGTAAAGATTATAGGATGCGTTACAACTAATACAGCTTTATAGATATAATATAAAATAATTAACCAAATTAATTAATTTTATCAAAATATATTGAAAATGTTATATGTAAGTAAGTACCTAGGTATTGTGTAGAATGATAATCTTAACATTTGGTGAACATTTTAAGTATTTAGTTATTTAGTTTTGAATTACAATAAAAAAAATAAAAATAAATCAGTTTGTGTAAAAATTCCGGTTTTTCTTGTTCATGTTGAAATAAATACTTTTTGAAGTCAAAAGTACAAACCAGATACAATCTTTTATCATAAATCATCTTCAAAATTGAAAATTAGAAAATGTTGTCTAATACGTATCGAGTATAAATACATAAAAAAAAAATAAAACTCATCATTGTAAACATTATCTATTCTAAGGTTGGTTCTCATTTAAACACAGAAGTTTGTGTTAGTATAAGACATCAAGATGGTATAAAAATCTCAATACTTATTAAAAATATGGTCTTTTTAAGTTTACAAAAATTAAATTTTGAATAATTACGTTATTAAAAAAAATAAAGGAGTGACATGTATAGTGAATAATTCTGTATACAAAATAATCAGAGATTATTTCAAAAAAGTGATTAAATTATTAATCATTAACGTTAAACGTTGACCATTACTCAGTTAATCTAGAGTTTTTTAATATTTTCCATTTTATTTTACTAGTTAACAATTTTAAAATATTATTTATTATAATCTGTAGCTGATATACACATAATATTAAATTTCCCGCTATAATAAATCCCCGAGTTTCAAAGAGGTTGTACATATTGTCAATACATTTACTACAGATCAGATGGTGTTGGTATTAGATGGCCGAATTTTTTTTATAGAGATATATGTATATAATATTATCAAAAAGTGAAAAACAAATTTTTAGACTTCCAGTGTAGACTACAAGAATTACGGGAATAGAACGTCTTAGTTCTTTCAATAATAATTTATCGACTATGTAGACCATTAAATTTAGTCGTTTGAGAACCAAACTACATAAACTCAATAATAAAATGACATCAATAACGTCGGAAAGGTAATAGTGTTTCTATAATTCAGATTCCACAATATCCATTTATAAAGTGTGTCCTGAATACTGGTCTCTTTATTTATTCTCTGTATCTATTGTTCAACTTATTATTAATGTTTATTTTGAATATCATAAATTTTAGGGTAGAATGGGTCGAGATAATCGAACCCAGGACTAAAGAACATATGTATGCAAATTTAACAACTGGTGAATGTGTTTGGGATGCGCCTGTAGGAGTGCCCGTGTAAGTACCTTTATTATGTATTTAAATATTTATGTTTCATGTATTTCTATGAATTGAATTGATATATTGTATAAAAGTGGATTGGTGTTTTTTTCGCTCATTTTTATAAATATAATATTTCTTATAGTTATAATATGACCTTTAGCCTTTGGATGTTGAAATTATGGAATTTTCATTTTATTTTAAATTAATTATATTCTTAACTTATTAATATATTATTTATTTATTTTTTTTTGTCGGTATGTCAATTTTATTTCATAGATATGTTTAATGTGATAAATATCATGTTTAAAAGTAAAATGTTTCTGTGTTACAAATAAGTTATATTATAGTAATTTAAAATAATTTAAATTAATTTTTTTAATAATAAATTATAGGGTTAAATTTGTATAAGTTGATTACTTAATTATAATAATTATTAAATACCTGAGAAAAAAATAGTTTTTATTAAATTATATTTACAATTTTTAACTAAATTTGTTACAGTTTTTTAACTATGAGTTTATCTAACATTCAATTACAGTATTAGTATCTAGTATTAAATTATTTTGAGTAATTTTTATTGGTTAACTAACAAATTAATGATATTAAGATATAATTTATGTAATTTGTATAAAAAGAATGATGGTTATTTAATTGATATTATTTTATTTTATTTACCTAATGATTATTATTAAATTTGTACTTCAGCTATTTAATATTTTTGACATATTTTTAGCAAAACACTTCCTCTTTTCAATTTGATGTGTAACCTAACCTAGGCTTTTGTAGTTAATTATAATTTTGATTCAAGATTCTGAACTAAGTATTATTTTACATAATTACCCATGTACAAGACATCTAATATTTTATGTAGGTTTTAAGTTAAAATATCAAGAAAGTTAGATGAAAATTTGATAAACAAAATATTAAATAATTTCAAAATTATTGTTTTTATTTATTTTTTAATTTGAAAAAATATTGTTTTAATTAAATTAATTTATATTTGTTTACTAAGTTACTCAATTACTAGCAAGATTTGTTTTAAGTATCTTTTTACCTTTATAATTGGTGCTCTTCTTCTAAGTTAATTATATTATTATTATTTATATCTGTATTTAATTAAAAATTTTAAACTATATTTTGTTACAAAGTTTATTTAAGTATTAGTTTAAATTATTAATAATTTAACATTGCAAAAAAATTAGAATAGCCTTAAAACATTACTCCAAATATAATTATATTTTATTTATTTGTATTACCTTGAAAATATAAATATAAATTTTGAAAATCATATGGTATTTATTTTTAAATACTTTTTATTTATATTTATATAATTTAAATGGAAATTCAACTTGAATATCAATAGTAGCTGTATAAATGTAATAACTTTTTTTTAGTATTTTATGCATGCTTATTATTTTTATTATATAGTATTAACCACAAAACTGTTTTAATTTAGAAATATAATAGAAAAAAAAATGATTTAATCTATAATGAAGCATTTAGGACTTAGGTCATAATATGTTTGCTTGTTAACAGAAATTACATCATTCTAACAATTGGATTTATTTAGATAATACAAGTGTTACAAAAAAAAAAAAGTTTAATTTTAGAGCTATTTATATCATTTTGTTATTACCATAAATTTCCTACAAGGCTAACCAATAACCATTACGTTGTTGGTTTAAAAAATACTTGTTTGTACTAGTATTTGTATATTAGGTGGTGAAGTAGAGCTAATATATTTTTATGTTATATAAAAAGTTTTATACAAATTGCATTTTATATAATTGATTTCCTAAATTTTTCTACACCATGAAATATAGTTTTATGTATACTAAAATAAACTAACTCTATTTTTATTCTTCACATTTGTTTATGTTATAGAAAAAAGACAGACAACAACCAGTGGTGGGAACTATTTGACCCTATCACTAATCGTTTTTACTACTATAATACAGCTTCTCAAAAAACAGTTTGGCATCGACCTCCTAATTCTGATATTATACCTTTGGCTAAATTACAAACATTAAAACAAAATACTGAACCTGCTGTGAATGATGAAAATGATCGTAAATATTCTAAAGAATCTGTGTCAACTCAGACACCTGGCCGCAATAGAATGACAGTACCCCTTTCATCAAGTAATCAAACGTTGGTAAGTTATTTTAATAAAATAGAAATTTTGTTACTAGTGTAAATGTAAAAATGTATGTAATTTGTTTACATAATACATTAATTGTGAATATTCAGTTTATGATTTTTAAGGTTAAGTTTTATTTTTTAGGGTAATGTTGAGAATGTTAAAACTTTTAAGTTAATGGACCCAGTTACTTCAACTAAACGTTCTGTGGATTCTGAAACTCAAACTTCTCCTCTTACACCTCGCAGATCTCACCATCATCATCATCATCATCATCATCATCATAAGTATGTTAACTTTATTTTTAATGTAAAAAGTTTTTTTATTCATTTTTATTTTCATTTAGACATCAACAACAAGCTAGTACACCAAGTAGAGGACGACGTGGAAATCAGCCTAATGTTTGGTACAATCGTACTGCTTATTCACAAGTGAGTAAACTAAGGTTTTTATCTAATAAAAAAATTGATATATTTATATATATATTTTTTTTTACAGTAAATTTTAAAATTATAACAATACCTTTTAAAATGTCGAATTTGTATATTTAGAGAGCAAGTTGAAAAATATCTCTTATTATTTATAGCTGTCTTTTATATGAATTATATTCATAACACATTAGTTGTTTATCATATTTGAGTATCTTTTTTGTGACATTGAAAAAGTTAGGGTTTAAAAAAAATTATCTTACAAAATAAAAATAAAATTATCTATGACTTTCACATAAATATAAAATATTTTTAAAAGGCATTAACAAAAATCAATATTTTAGTTATAACACAGACCAAATTGTTATGCATTTAATAACAAGGTATATGACGCCAATTGGGGTCATTCAGCATATGTAAAAGATGTTAATTGATGTCATTGGTGTTATACACAGTAAACATATTAATTAAACAATTATAATTTACACTATTTCTATGTTTTAAATATAGTTAAACCTAAATATAAACTACCGTTATCCACTTAAGTATTTCTTCAGTTAAACTTACACATGTATCTATTTAATGTAATTCTTGTTTTTTTTTTTTTTGGGGGGGGGGGGGGGGAAATAACTGATAGTAAATATTTTCATATAATTATAAACATATAAATTATCGTATAGTTATCTGTGATAAGGAGTATTTATATATTCATGCTTTGACATTTAATCACTTGTCTCAATTTTGTGATTGGTGATATTTTAGCGTAGTTTGTACATATGCATGCAATTATATTTAAGTTTGAAGTAAGATCGTTGTTAATAAGATATATGCGAGAAATATTACTGTCTGTGTCCGTCTTAGAAAAGGTTCGTTATATACGGTAAAAATACACTAACATTTTTTAATCTTTTTACTTTATTATTTTATCTATTGAGAGGTATCCATTAAGTTAGGTTTTACTGTATATACATATTTGTTTTAATTAATTGTAATTTTTCAAAGATAAGTTGTCTGTTAGCTACTTATAGACAATCATGCAATAACACTAACTTATAGCAAAAAATCTATTAAACTTGATATTATTATATTGTTTTAAAAAAAAAACATAAAATTGATAAAATAATATTCTTATCTAATTATTTATAAATTTATATTTAAACACATGACATTACTTTTTGTATAGCTGGCATGATAAATATAAGTTATCTTGACCCTTTTATGTATTAATAATAGAAAATTATTATAAATACAATGATCGTCATATTTAAAATACACAAAGAAAATAACTTATTACCATTAGTGATTATGCTTTATTATAATATTCAACAATTAAAATAATTTTCATTCTAACTTGAAACATGAAATAGTTTTATTTTAGATTTACGATTATAATTAATTGGTATAAATATACTTTTATGCTATATTCTTTTAATATTATAATTATAATTTTTTGCTTTATTTGTGTAGGATTCTGGTCGTTCAAGTGATTCAAGTTGTGTTTCTATTCAATCATCTAGTGGCAAAGATGCTAATCCTGGTTTATCCATGTCTGCCAGTACACCGCTATTTAGAAAGAAACTTTCTCAACCACCTACACCACAAAATAATCTTCCTATTCAACGAAGTTCTTCCAATGCTTCTCAATACCAATTATTATTAGGCAAACAAAAAAGCTTTGATACTGATATAAGTATTGGAGGTGGCTACAGTCTTGGTCATGATAATCGTAACAACAGTTGTTCTCGTCCTCGCCCTCCTGTTGTACTGTCTTCCAGTTTATCTAATAGTCAGATTTGTAGGAGTCAAAGTTTTGCACAAAAGTCAATTGCTACTAAAACTTCAATTGAAGCAGAAGAAGAAGATTCAATGCATGAAAAATATCTTGCTCCGAGTGGATTACTGGGGATGCCTCCACGACATGGCAAAAAATCTGTAGAATCCACTCCTTTGGTATTATTACTTAATTTTTTTAACTACAAGTGGTGTATTTTCAACATTTTTTTTTAGGAGGGTGTCTAAAAAATAAGTTTATATTATAAAAATACAACATATGAATTATGAATTAATAATCATTTTATTTCTTTTGAACTTTTTTTTTCTACTGGGAGGTGGGGTTGAGAAACCTTCCTCAAAAATACGCCACTGCATACTACTACCAATCAATTGTTTATTATCATTGCTTAATTTATAGAGCTCTCGGAAATGGCATTCTCACTCTGATACTGGTTCTCCTACAGCATCTAAATCACGGCCACCATTAACTCCTGAATATGCTAACTTCGCAGCTCCTCCTCCTCCACCTGCTGCTCCAAGTCAGTCTAGTTCAAAATCATCTTTAACACAATCAGTAAAACATACAAAATGTTCAAAAGATGTTGGACTTTCAAGTAGTGATGATGATTCAGGAGAAAATGATAATTCTAGTTCTAGTGTATCAAGTAGTCCCCCAACAGCTAGTAAAATTGATCAAAGATTAAGATCTGACAACAAAACTATAGATAACCGTGAGTTGAAATAATTTAATTTTTAAGTTTTTTACTAATGAAAAGAGTATTTAATGTTCCATAACATTATAACTTTAGTGAATACTACAGGTGTGTCACTTTTATTCAGTTGATTCTTCATATTATATATTTAGCTTTTTTATTTCTGAGTTATAATATGTTTCAATATTCAGATATGTATAATTTTTAACTACAAGTCAGTTATCCTTAAAAGAATGATTTTACCCATTGTTTTTTTGAATACTACAAAATTTATTTATTTTCATTGTTAAAATTCTAAATAAAAATATTTATAGTAATGTTTGTTTATTAAAATACTTCCAACATATAAGGTTAGTTTTTGACAAGTATTAATCCTACATTGGAATAGCCATTTAGCTTTCTCTCCTCCTCTACTAAAAGAGATGTTTTGTATTTGGGATCCAGACTTTGTAAAAAATCAAAGTTATAAACAACTTGATTAGTTAATTGTTAATTTTTATGTGATTTTGATTCTATAAAATATATATTTCATTTTGATAAAAATGTTGACAAAAATAATTTATTAGATTTAAAAGCAAGACCAGTATCAAATCATTCAAGCTCATCTAGTCAACGTGGTGGAGTTGTTCGAAAAAGTATTAGTCCAGCCACATCAGATCAAAAACAAACTCCACTATATAGTAATTTAGATATGTATGAAGGTAGAATTTTGCCTCTTCATCAATACATTTTAGAACAAGCAAAATTATCAGGTATTTTATTTAATTATATGTTCTGTTTTTTATCTTATATAAGAGTAACCTTGGGCAGTAGGCTTTCTATGCATACCAATGGCAATGTGCATAAGTGCTGTGCTTTTAAAGACAATATTTTATTATTCCAAAAAGTGCCTAGCATGCATATTGCTAAGATTAAAATGGTTAAGTAATTTTTTGACATCTAAGGTTACTCATTTTATGAGATAGATTGTAAATATATTTATGAAAATTTAATAATTATTATTTTCTATAATTTATAGGATCATCATATAGGTTTGGAGATACAGTTGGTACTTTTTCTGAAGATGATGATGCTGAAATTGAAGATTTAATTAGTGTTATGGGCACAGCTACTGGATATGATAGTGATGAGTTTGCTGATGATGAAGGAGCGGTTAGTCAGGGTGAACAATCTAGTTCACCATCTCCATCAAATGCATCTTCTAGACATTATTTAAGAGATGAATTAGACTATGATCATTTGACAGCAATGAGAACATCACAACCTCGGAGTTATGTTAATGGTAATATATTAATATCCTATATTTTTTAAAACTTTGTTATAAATAAACTTAATTTTAGATACTCGAGTAAATGATTATACAATTGAATCTAGTAGTAATCAACATTATTATAATACAGTTACAAATACTTTATCATCTCAAAGATCAGCAAATCTAGTCACACCATCAATGTCTGGTAATTTGATATTTTTATAATTAATATATTTTTTTTTTCATAAATTAACAATAATATTATTCTTAATTATTATTTTTAAAAGATCCATTTAGCAATTCAGCTCCAACTCTTCCTTTAGAAACTCAACATACATCATTAAGAAGAAGAAAAGATCAACATGTTCAACCTCCAGCAGCTTTATATTCTCCAATTATGGAAAGAAATGAGGTAAATACATATTTTATGTATATTAGCATGTGTCTAAATGTTAAAATTATTTAAATAATACATTTTTTTAAAGATAGGTACAACTGTTTTCTTAGTACTGTAGTGGCTTATTCATTAAAATTATAATTTATAAGTAACCAATTTTATTAATAAGTATTAATATCTTTTGGGGGGTGAAGTGGCCGAGCGGACTAAGGCGGCGGTTGCGTCGCGCACCGTCGCCGGTTCGAATCTCGGTCACGGGCGGCGTCACTCTTCAGGCAGTCACGGTGTCTGGAGAGAGAAGCCGCCGCCCCCCACCCGGGCATGGCAGAAACCTACGGGTGCCCACTAAAAATTCTGCCAAATAGGCGTCCGAACTAGGCCTTCGGGCCTACTCCCGGACATAAGCGCCATATGCTAAAAAAAAATATCTTTTGAATTAAAATTATAGTATATAAAATATACAATAGGTTTTAATGCTATCAATCCATTTATTTATAGTCATTTTTGGATAAATTAATAGTTAATAAAAGTCTCATATTTATTAAATCCATTTTGTAATTCAACATAGGTAATACTCAGGTAGTAAAAACAGATTTCATTTATTATATAGAAAGAGAATTAAGAAAATACTTTTATAGGTAGCTAGTGTATGGTTATATTTCCAATTTATTTATTTTAAAGCATTAAGCATGTTATAATAAATTTATATATTTATTCATACCCAATATCGATATGAATTGAGTATTTTTTTATTTTTTTTATAATTAATAAACCGAAATAACAATATTAATAATTTTACAAATGTATGTATTACAAATATAATAACTATATAATTATACAATAATATGGTACAGTAGAACTTCGATTAACTGTCAGTCTTAGGACCAGATCTTTGACAGATAATCTAAAAGACAATTAAGCAAGCAATAAAAATTTTTTTAAATATACATACATATTATTTATTATTTTTTTAATAATTATGACATGCATATTGATATAATTAGGTACTATTACTTATTGGTACATTATTATTATTATTTTTTTATTTAAATATGAATATGTACCTATTGCTTACCTAGTATATATTGCCGGAAAGTTTTGGATAAACCTATTCATACACAAGGCAATAAGATTTTACTGCAACACGCTAATGGTCCGTGCAAGTGTGGCACCTGATGATTAACCGAGAAAAACAGTTAATTGGGAAACGGTTAATCGAGGTTTTACTGTAATAATTTATTATAATAACTTAATTTAAATATCATCTAGATATATGTATTATACACAGAAGTTAAGAAAAAACAATAATATAAACATGGATATATACAATATATAATTTAAAATATTTTAGTTGTTATATAATATAAATTTATAATAATTACACTTATTTACAATTATTTATCTAATTTCACAATAAACAATGCAATATTATATGTACATATATATTAATTTATAGTTTGATTAAAAATTACAAAATTAATTAACGTTAATTATACATAAAACTTAATTGTTACTTAAATGATAAGTTTAATTTATTAATAAAATATAAGCTATTATAGAATAATAACTTGAGGCAGTCTTTTTTAATAGTTGTGAATTGGTTAAAAAAAGGTGAAAACCCAAGTAAATCTAAAACTTATCTCATATCAGGATTTTATACTATAACTCATATTATTTAGCTGATAATTTTTTTTGTTGAAATAATAATTAAAAATAGTTATTTATGGTGAGTTAATATTTTTATTTCCTTAATTTAATTAATTTTTCAATATTTATCTGCAAAATAACTCACATTTAGAAATTGTGTTTATTATATATTATCATTTATCACAAATGAGAATTCAAAAAAAATATTTTAAATTTGTATCTATTTAGTATTTTATTTACTCAACCATGTTTTGCTAATAATGAGATAAATCTTACATTTCTTGTTTATTGTTTTATCAATATATACTCTATACCTATATATCTAAGCATAGAAATGGTAAAACTTATACGTACACGATATATTTTTTTAAATTTCTTTTTTCTAAATCTCTTTTTGCATGTTAGCTATTGTTTTTTTCTTGTGTGTGCTTTTAGTTTATGCTGGCTCGTTATGCAAACTCGAATCGAGGTGTATTTCACCCATCATTATCTCAAGATGCTCGATCCTGTTCGCCAGCCTATTTCTATGAACAGGTTTATATATGCTTTTGCAAATGCTATTAGAACAGTGTGAAACTTTTAAATTTTAATGAAATCATAGTTACAATATTTTTATGCTTAAACTGTATTTATAGACTTCTAGAACTTTGTTAAATCGAGATAAAAAAACTACTTCTGAAAGTGATATTGAAAAATATGCCCAGGACAACCTAAATATACATAAGAAGGGTATTTTCAGAAAAAAATTTTCAGTAAGAGACATGCTTTCATGGTCCAAGGTAAAAACTAAATAATTCATTTTTTCATTGAAATATATTTACATCTTAATTTTATTTTAATGGTAATTTGTATAGGATCCAATTCGTAAACCTATGCTAGTGTTATCTGACAAAGCATTGAAAAAAGAAGCTTGTGATTTATTTAAATTAGTTCAAACCTATATGAGTGATCGCAAAGCAAAATTAGGAATGACTTTAAACAGTGTGGCTCTAGAAATATGTATGATTGGTTTTATGAAACCAACCCTTCGAGATGAATTATACATACAAATATGTAGACAAACAACAGAAAATCCTAGAAAGTATAAATATATATATATATAAGTAAAGGTTTTATTTTATAATTATCAAATATTTTGATTTTTAGAGAAAGCTTGCGTCGTGGATGGGAACTTTTGGCTATTTGTTTATCTTTTTTCCCACCTTCTCCTAAATTACAAAAATACTTAGAAAGTTACATGGAAAGACATAGAGATCCAGGTTTAGATAGTTATGCTACTGAAGTTGGTCGTTGGCCTGTTCATGTCCAAGTAAGCCATTATGCCAGTGTGGCCACTAAAAGATTACACAGAATGGGTGTAGATGGTAAAAAAGCAGTTCGAAGACCAACATTGGAAGATATTGAACAAGCTAGAGTAAGATTGATTTTATTTTTAATCATATTTACTTAATAGTTAGTTTATTTATAATATATATAAATATATTATCAGATGCAAATATTCAGACCTAGTCTTTTTGGAAATACAATCAGTGAAGTTATTGATCTTCAAAAAGAACGCTTTCCAAACTATAAATTACCTTGGGTACAAACCACATTATCTGAACTAGTACTAAGGCACAGAGGTGATCAGACAGAAGGAATATTTAGGTAATCAAAACAATACCTATTGTTAATTAGATATATGTTTATAAAATCTTATTTTTTTTTTACTAGATTATACATTCTGTCTCATGAAAGAAAGGTTCTGTTTTGCACATATAGACTGAGTTACAAATTGGTTTTTGGCCGAATGTAGTTGGGGTACTGTGATGTAGAGATGCACAAAAATAACTGAGTTTTGTTGAGACATTAGTACCTTTCTTTTGTGAGACACAGACGTTGATAGATATTACACTATAGTTTATAAATATTTATTAAATATTAAACATTCTTAATTTGTTTACCATATATTATAGAGTACCAGCTGATATGGACGAAGTAATGACCCTTAAGAGTCGTTTAGATGTATGGGAAGTTCCTGGATCTGAAGAATTGACTGATGCTCATACTCCAGCATCTTTATTAAAACTATGGTATCGTGAATTATATGAGCCTCTTGTACCTGATCACATGTATGCCGAGTGTATTGCTGCTCATCAAGATGCTCGCCGTGCTATTGCTATTATTCATCGATTACCACCTATAAATAAAGCTGTTTTAGCTTATCTTATTCACTTCCTACAATTGTTTACCAAACCTGAAGTTGTTCATGTTACCAAAATGGATGCTAGTAATCTGGCTATGGTTATGGCTCCTAATTGTTTACGTTGTACTTCGATTGATCCTCGTGTAATATTTGACAATGCTCGTAAAGAGATGGCTTTTATGCGTTTGTTAATTTTACATTTTGATGCGTCCTTTATGGAAGGCGTATATTAAACAGATCTGTTATGTTTAATAACTAATTACTGGAACTGTATTAGTTTCAAAACTACACAAACCAAAGGTTATTATTATGAAAGCTTAATTGCACACTAATTTAATTATTTTTAAGCTAATATAAATTATAATATATACGTATGATAAATTAAATTTGATGACTAAATGTTTGACATTGATTTTTAGTAGTTTAGATAAGTGTTACCATGTAAATGACTTGCAAAATTTTACTTAAAATATAATCTTATTACTTAAATACTACTTTAATTATATACCCTCCCACTGCCTATAATATGTTGTATAATTTTTTAATAGCTTATTTATACATTTTTATTTTTTATTTTTGTTTAGCTGTTATGAATAAAGTTACAATAAACAGTATTAGATTATTCAATAGTTTATTACTACAATATTTTTAAAATAGTTAAATGGTATTTAGAAATGAATTGTGTACAAATAAGTATATTTTAATTATACATAGTACTGTTTTAAAATTTAAAAAAAAACAACTTGATGACACTATATTTTGAATTTGTTAAGTTTTAAAAAGCTTATTGATTTAACAGAAATGTAGTAAACTGTTTTAGTCTAATGCTAGTATGCATATTGACTAGAATTCATGTTATTTTGTTTAACTAGAATACTTTTTTTGTTCTGGAATAAAGAAAAAAGATCTTTTATTATTATTAATATTCTTTTTCCTGAATGTATTTATTTTTAAGTTCAGTTTTTGTACCTATCAAACACCAGAACAATATTGTCATTTTAATTTTTATACACTTTATTTTTTCTTAATTTCTTTGTGGTGTTATTGTATGAATAATAAAGTTGGAATTGTTTTTATTTTGTTGAACAATATTTTAACCTATACTATTATTATATAGACTAAGAACATGTTAATGACTTCAAATCATAGAGTAATCTACACTTTTTTTATGTATTGAATACTAGAGTGACATTTATTTCAGATGACAATATTCACATTTTTTTTTCCACCACCAGCTCATTACATAATATCCTTATAAAGACAGTGTGGAAATGTGGAATAGTGACTACAATCATAAACTCATTGTTTTTGGCTGATGACATAATAGTTATGTTCCAATAAATTTTAAATTTTTAAACCATATATACCTCAAAAGTGGTGAGCCTAATTAAATTGTTCTACTATCATAGTATGGTCAAAACTTTTTGGAAGAAAACCCATAATAATTAGTTTATAGTATAATTAGTGTTTTATTTAAAGATAAGTTACAACGAAAAATTAGACCAGAATTAATTTTCTTAGGTAACTTTTTCACAATATTATATAAACATAATTGTAAGTTATAACAATATAATTTATAACCATTTAAAGGCGGACATCAGGGGGGAGACTAGTCCCCTCAAATATTTCATTAGACCTCCCAAAAATCAAAACTTTTTTCAAAATGTTATTACTAGGTATATACGTATAATAATTATCTGTTAATTTTTTTGAAAATTGTAAAATATTTTACCAACAAATGTTATAGCAAATTATTATTGTATTAAACGTATTTGGTTTCCAGATAAATGACATCCAATAACATTTATTATTGTACTATAATAAAAAAGAATTTATGTAGTAATGTTAATTGTACATTTTTACATGCTGTTATTCATCTTTTTATCGCAAAACATGTACCTATGTACATGGTATATAAATATTATACATTATAATAATGATTATTGTCCATTTGTACCTACTTTACATTATTAAACCAATATTTAAGAGTTTTTCAGAAAATCAAACATTATTCCTTAATTTGCAAAAACTATTTACAGTAACATTGACAATTCCAATCAGTTCGACTACTTACAAAAGAAATTTTAGTGTAATGAAAAATTAAAAACTTGGCTAAGGACATTGATATTTCAGATTAGGTTTAGCAACTTTCTATATTATATATTGAAAAAGATATGTCCAAAAATATTAATAACAATGATATTTTAAATACCTTTGTCGATAAAAACAGATATTTGTTATTAATATAAAATTAATTATTAATTATTCATAAATTTATATTATTTAGTATTTTTTATTACTTATAAATATTTATATATTTTATTAGTAGTATGTTGTACTCCTATATAGAAATAGGATGTGGGGGCGAAGCCCTTGTGGGTTACTTTACAATAAATTATAATAGCCCCCTAAAAATTCAATCAAATGCCTGCCAATGTAACCATTGAATTAGTCGTAAAAAAAAAAAATAAGGTATTTAATAGTATACTCATCGGTTTCATTTACAAGTATGTGCACTTAAATTGTATTACAAGTTTTGGTTAATGTTTAATGATAAAAGTAATCATTTTTTAAATATTTATTGATTACTTTAAGTGTAATTATTATTTTAAATAATCTTCTGAACTTTTTGTTTTATCCTTTTATTATCACAACAAACAAAACTTAACTATAAATAATTATTTTATTCAAATAAAATTGTATAACAAAATTTTTGTAAATAAATAGAACTTCTGATGACTGTTAGATAGTTCTACAATCTTGTTTTTGTAAAAACAATGTAATATGTGATATATAACGCCACAAAATAATTTTGAAAGTTACAAACTTCAATAAATTGGCATTAAACATAGTATACTCGCATCAGAATCAATTTATTTTTATTTTTACTAAATACATAGTTTAAATTGGGAACTTCTGTATTAATTCAAGAGTATTTTTAAAGGAACAAAATAACGAATGACCATCATAAATTGTATTAATTTAAGTTTTATCTATTTTTTTTTTTTTTTTTAAACACACTTACATTATACCTAAATATCTATAGTTTATAATTACTTATATGCTCGTTTAAAGTAGTATAATTTTGAAATAGAAAACGTAATAAATTAATTTTTTAAAAAACTTAGATCGATAATTAAAAAAAAAAATGATGTATAACAATGTCAACAAACATGAACTAAACAATAATATAAACATATTTAAAATATTAATAAGTCTATCATCAATTATTATTCCGCTACTCACACTGATTAATAACCAAAATTAATTTATTATTTTAAACACAATTTTCAATTATTATAATATAATTTTGAAGAAACAGGAACATGCAAAAAAAATGCTTGATAGTATTAATTATCCAAAGTATAAATTTTAAATAGTTTAGGAAAATACTGACAAGTTATTTTTGCTGAGTTTAAACATTTTTTTTCTCTTTTTTTTTTTTTTATATAAAATATTTGTACAAAACAACATATTTCGTTTAGGATAAAATTTCTAATATACATGTCAAATATATATATTTACATTGTTGAATGTACACATAAAACTTAAGTCTTATAATAAAAACAATGAATTTTTATTGCATTATTGCGAAGAAGAGGGACGGTGAAATTGCGGTGGATAATTATTATTATAAGATTGAGGCAACCTTGGGGGGTATTCATTTCTTACAGGATACTTATCAAATGATCTTGGATAGTCTGGTGGATATCTAGGTCCATAACATGAACTAGGTGCTGGATCGGCCTGTATACCTATTTCAGATGATTTATGAGGTCGCTCAAATTTTGTTAATGTTATTGAGGACGGTAATTTGGGAGACTGGTATGAAGATGATGGTATGGCAGGTGATGTTGACTGTGTAATAGCATTAGACAAATGAGCTGGAGACATATATGACGGAGAATGAACAGATCTTGATGGTGATGGTATATGTTTAGGCGTTATTGAAATGCTAGAATTATTTCTTAATAAATTTGAACGGTTTCTTAATTGTTGCATAGAAGCATCTATAAAGTAACACATTAATTTTATAAAATACTTAATACATTGTATATAATGAATATTATTATTGTTACAAACCGTTTTTGGATCCTGGATTAAAACTACTTTCTAATGGATGTGGCCTATTGTACGTCATTGTAGAAGGATGAGCAGATTGTTGTGGAATAAATGGTTGGCTTGGTACTGCTAGGTTATTTGATTTATTAGCTGATGTACGGATAGCAATTATTTTACCGCTTTCCAACTGCATATAAATTCCTTTAGGACTTTTCAGTACCATTACTTTTTGACCAGCTTTCAGTACAATTGAACCACGATCACCAGCATTTGTTGGAATTACAACATCTTAGAAAAAATACATAAGTATTAGATTTTGTTTTTAGAAACATAAAATACTCAGTTGGTCTGTTTCAAGTTAATTGACATGATCAGTTTCAGAAAATATTATAAATTAAATAACAATTATTAATTACCAAGTGGTAAAGTCATTTCTTGAGCAGTCATTCCTTGTTTTTGCCAGACTTCAGCTGGTATCCATCTACGGTTTAAAGCATTTCTGCTAGCCATTACTGCTGATGTATTAGACATTGACTGCATTGGGCGTACACTGGCCATTGGTTTACCCATTTGATTTCTATATAAAATAAACAATTACACTGAATAAGGTGATACAAACAATATAATATACATTTTAATATTTCAACTCTAACCTATACAATGAAGATGTAGTATTTTGACCATAATATGAATACATTGGTCTTGTATTTGCTTTTTTTTCCATTTCATAACTTCTTTTAGCTAACCTTTTTTCAGCTTGCGATAATTTTTTGTCTTTACGATCCACAAACAATGATTCATGTTGAAATGGTTCCTAAACATTATTAAGCAATAGAACATTATAATTTATAAACAATAATAAAATTGAATTTTAAGAAAACTTCAATTTCAAGTTTGTTATCTTTATATTATGTTTGGATAAAGTACAACTACAAAAAGTTAGACATTAATTGGTTATAAACTTAAACATAATTTAGAAGCGATTTATAACATTTATATTGATGATGTTAAATAAGTGAGTTACAAAGATAATAATTCTTGAAGTGGTGAATTCTATTTCAATGTTTAAATTTGTAATAATTTACCTTAGTTAACACAGAACTGAGATTCTCGACAATATATTTTATAACTACATCACTATAATTATCTTTAAGTGATGAAAAATCTTTGATTGGAGTAGATTCTCCATCATCCCAACATAAATTAGTTACTTCTTTGATAGACAAATGGGCATCTGGATTACATTCATCAACAACACGATCTGCCATTACCTGTTTGTTTATCTGCCTATCATAGATTTTTTTTTCTAAACAATTATCTGTAACTAATCTATAGACAAAACATGGTTTTTGTTGACCATATCGGTAAACTCTGCATACAGCTTGAGTATCATGACAAGGATTCCATGATGCATCAAACACAATTACTCTATTTGCTCCAACAAGATTAATAC